CCTTTCATTTTTGTTTCATTTTTCTTTTGCACTGGTGACTGAGGACCACCGAGGTGCAATGACATTTGGTTTCGTTTTCGTTCGAATGTAGCGACAACCTCTACTAATTCCATTTCATTTTCTGTACAAAGGTTTTCAAGACGAAAAAATGTCTGGTTCCGAGTATTTGAGATCCCCAGCTGCAGTTTCCAAAATAGCAGAATTTGTAAGTTATCATCACTCTCCTTAGAACTCCTTACGTTTAAAGTTCAACATGGTTCAAAATCGCTTCATGTGTAAGCGGTGTTTTTTAGTGTCGGTGTTTTGCCTGAAAATTGAAATTTCAGTACGAACTCCACACTGGGTGGGAAGTTTAACGATTCCAGTCAGATTCAGTGAGTGAAAGTAAACTGATTTTTAATTTCAATCTTTAATTATACACTGATATTCTTTTCAATTTCTCACTTCAATACTATACGTATTCGAAACCAGTCGTAAGAAAATTTTAATATATTAGAAAAAAACTGCGGTTGACTAGCTGCATCATACCCAGCGGCAGATCAGCAAACTGCCCCCCCCTCCCGGGGGGGAAATCCAATATAAAAAGGACGGGAATGTTCGTCGTACCATTTAGGGGTTAAACTAGGGTGTTCAACCTCATGAGATCCACAGCAGGAGCTTTCGCAGTGTCAATTAATGTGTTGCTTTAATTTAGAATTGGTACCTCTAAGGGGTGAAAAAAATTTCAAACCACGCCCACAAAACAGGATCTTGGTACCTCTTACTGGTTCTTATCAAAATTTCAGACCAGGCTTGGGGAGCACCCCCGTCGTTTTTATACGGGAGTTCCCCCCCCCCCCGGGAAAACGGACTTTGTAGCTAACCTGAATTTCTGATATTGTTGTTCTTATTTCACAGATTTTGCTGATGTCAGCGTTCGTAATAATTTCTTTATACAATAGCTACTTCAGTTCAACAGCCGATGCTGATGTGCCGAGACCAGACCACATGGAGCGACTGTCGTTCTTTTTGATTTCTACCATCACACTTTGGCTGTTCGTCAGTCTCGTGTTTGTGTTCTCCTTGTCAACTGTCAGCGACAGAATCGGCAAAGTTTGGAATGTTCTCGTGAGCAATTTTTTTTAGCATTAAACAGCCTTTATTTCCTATTATTTTTATAAGATCTTTTTACAGGATCAGGTTAATTTTGCTGGAGCCGATTGAGCAAGCTTTGAGTTGACTAATTTTCTGGAGATATGTGCTTGATTCTGCTTATAATTTATAATCACAAATTGCTAAAATATATATCTTGAATAATATGTAGATGCGTATGTATCAATTGTGCCAGTGGCTTCCCCACTCTTATTGTACTCTGTAAGCATATTTAAGTTTCACTGTAGCAGTGCACCGAAGATTGGGGAAAAGATGTTTCAATTTTGCAACATTTCTGCCGTTAATACTCCGAACTCACTCGATTCTAAGGGATGATGGTCCCGATGCACCCTGGGGACCCTGGAGAACTTTCAATTTGATAGCTATAGTCAATCTATACTACTTCCTAATAAGTGTTTTCCGAAAATTGTTTTCCCAGATAATGACTATCAGCATACTTAGTGCCATGTTACTGCTCGTGTCAAGCTCTTTATTGCTAAACGAAGTCACTCATCTTGCTAATTACACCAGCCCACTTGGGAAGGTTGACCTGTGCATGGCATTGAGGCATGCTGGGAAGCAGACATGTGGCCACTTACAAATTGCAGCGGTAAGATCTGTTATTTGTGTCTTGAATTTTTTCTCTCGTTCATAAGCAATATTAATACGCAAAAGTGTATGTCAGGAAGGCTTCTTAGTGAGGCATTGGACTATAAATAGGGTAATTTTGATTAGAAATCGATCAGTTCTTTGAATCTCTTACTTCCACGGTCTAGGCTTTCAAGTCTGCACATTTCTACTAATTTAAAAAAGCAACAGTGAAGACAGTTTTACTTTTTTCGTTTCAGATCTGTGGATTTTCAGCGATGCTGCTATTTACTGGGGATTTTATCGTGTACTACTTTAAATTTACTCAGTAAAGATATTCTAGAATCAGTAGTCTAATTTGGGCTCCTGCTAGTATGTGCTAGCCACTCCTGAAGTAGGCTCAGGAGGGGGCGAGGAGGGGGCTTCATTACCATTACGATTTACTATAGCTGCTGTTCATGAAGGAGCCCGCGCTCCTCCCCGAAGGGATTCGAGGAGAAACGTAGACCGAACTTTGCCTGGTCTCTTTCACAGCCGTTTACTGGGATGTCACGCAAAGCTCGGAGCGTTGCGTGACATCCCAAAAAAACCACTGCGAAGAAGACTAGGGGTGCTTACCATTTGTCAGAATAAGCCGGTTGGGATGACCATTGAATAATGGTAAGGGCTTTTCTAACATCAGCAAACCCACCGAATGAGATGGCGCTTACCATTTGCAATTCGATTTCTCGTAATTGTTTTCGGCTGATGAGAGACTGGAAACTGGAAAATTTACCAAATGGTGAGGAAATTCCCGTCATTCCGTTCCGAACGGAAAAAGAGGACTACCTCTTAGGTAGTCTACAATTTCCGAACGGATTTTCCGGAAAATTACTATCCATTTGACTTTCAACCGAAATTTCTGGATTTTTAGCTTAATGGTAAGCATCCTAGACTTCGCTTAGTTCCTGAACCTCGATATTTCGCCTCGGTCAATCGTTTTCGGGTCACGTGGTCCGAGGCGAAAAGTGTGCCGTTCGTCTCGGAGACGTCACCGAAAACAATTGACTGTGAAGACCTGTGAGAAAGCCGTCAATCAATCAGTCAGAAAGTCATCCTAGTCGGTCGGTCGTTCAGTCAGTCAGTTCGCAGTTGAAGCTCTCGTAAGCGGACGTTCTCGTAAGCAGCCACTAGAGTTGTGGGAGCTTGCCCAGCCGACAATAAACATTGGGAATGCAAGAAATACCACCGTTTCAAATGATTTTTTTGTTTCGTTTTTGATAATGGCGATATCTGTATACAGATAACTGCCGTACTAACAAATTCTAAAAGCAGTATGAACTGCAATGCGATATACATGGAAATTCTTTTCAGATGTCCGCTTACGGGAGCTTACGAACAAAGGAAAAGTCCCTAAATCGTAAGTCCTCAGTGTCCGCGGCCGCTTACGGGAATGTCCTCTTATGGGAATGAATCAAATACAGAGTTTGTATGGGAGTTCAGACGGGATTTTGCGAAGGAGGTCATAGTTAGAGCTGTCTGCTTACGAGAGTGTCGGTTAAGAGAGCTTCCACTGTAAATGAATCACGCTGCGGAAAGTTAAAATAACTAAATAAAGAAAGGGTAAAAAGTGTTTCTACTGTTTTATGTGTAAATCTTATTTCATACACGCTAAATCCAGAGGCACAAAGACACTGCCAAGACCCTGGACCACTTCGACGCTCTCACGCAATATCAACAATTTAATTCGTATTTTTCATATGAACAAAAACCCATCGCCATTTGGCCGTCGATAAAACCAGGAACATGGAACATCCCGGAACATCCCGGAACATCCCGGAACATCGAATAATTATGATAATTATGAGAAAAATAAGTAAAATTAAATTTCGTAAATAAAATAAACAAAAATAAACTGGTATCAGCTCGAAATATGAAAAGATATTTTGGGGGGTAGGGAGCGTTGGGTATTCCTTTAACGGACCACAATGAGTGCAGGCTCCTCTTCTTTTCGGCCAATTGCGTCACGGGGCTTTACAGCACAAACCTGGACGATTCGGTCGATGAATGCCAGGTAATTCATTGCGTTTCCTTTGTTGATCCCCGATTTCTCCAACATCTGAGGTGTTCGTAGGAGCATCATACAGTTGCTTGTTAAGTCAGTAGCCACAGTTTTGTCACTACGTATACTGTTCCGTCTTCGTGTTGCAATTATCATTCCCAGTTTCGCGCTCTCCGCTAGGAAGGTCTGGCACTATGCCCCACCAAGTGCAGACTCAGCCGGTCAAAGATTAGAGCAGTGCGTTCAGGTGCGTACTTCGCATGTTTGGTCTACTTTGGTGGCGTTCGAATGGCTCGATAGAAAACTAAGTTTGATCAAATGTCAGATAACGATCTGCACGTGAAGCTGAACTAGCGTTGAATAGATTATAGCCTACGGTAAAAGTGTTTTTAATTAAGAATTAACTTGTACTGGAGAAAATATTTTCCAGGAAAGGCATTTGAACTGTTGGCGACACCTTGAATTCAATTTCAGATCGCCAACACTTGTAACAAATATTTCTTGAGACAATAAAGTTTTGGCCAGCGACCCTGTAAGACAGCGCGTCGCCACTGAAATGTTTTTAAATTTTGTGTTTGTATTTGTTTACAGTGTCATCAAAGCTTGAGCAGTCCGAACTAGTTTGCACAAGAAACTCAATGCCGAAGAGTCTCTATTTCTATCTCATGGAGAAACTATTTCTTCATGAGAAATCGTGTATACGCATATCTTTGAATTGACGTAATGAATTGAATAAAGAAATCACACTTGTGTACCCATATTTTTCGGTCTGATTAAAGAGTTCGAACGCCGCCACCTAGGTTTTCTATGAACAACGAAATCTGGGAATAAGGGACAGCCATGTGATTAAACTGATGGCGAACGACTGGAAGGAATGGATTAGTCTTCTAAGTTGCGAGTCGTCATTCATTTCAGTCATTTTCATTTTTCTTTCTTTTTTTCTTTCTTTGTTTAACGTTTTTGTTTTGCTTTTTATTTTCTGAGCTGATACCAGTTTATTTTTGTTTTATTTAAGTTTTGAAAAATTAATTTTGCATATTTTTCTCATAATCATTATAATTATTCAATGTTCCGGGATGTTCCGGAATGTTCCATGTTCCTGCTTTTATCGACGGCCTCGCCATTTACCAATTTATGATGCCGAATTTACTAAATATGCAAAAGCCGTGGCAAAGTCATGGAACTTGGGGAGAGTACCGCCAACCCTTGTTCCCAGTCTCTTGGCTCACATCGCTCTTACGTCGACAGGAGGAGAGTGAGGTACGGACGGGGGTTTTCAACTTGTACTTGAGTTTTGGAAGTTATGTCTGAACAGTAACCGTATATTGTAATATACGTTTAGTTAATGGATATTCTAGTTGCCAAAACTCTAGCACGTTGTAAAAGATGCAATTGCCATGAGTACATCTGTGAAGGCGAACCAGCATGTTTTCTAGCTTCACGCTCTGAATGAGCGTGAAATAAGTTGTGATGGATCCATTTCGTGCGAGGCTACTGTCCGTTTCAAATGGAATAACTGATCGGGAACTTGGCCAGTTAAAGTTTGTCTGCAAGCAACATATTCCTGTGGGTGTTCTGGAGAAGATTGTTCGTCCGTTGGACTTATTCGATGAGCTTGAAAACCGGAACTTGTTGGGCCATGATAATACGGTATTTTTGGCGGAACTGTTGACCGAGATTGATCGTTTGGAGTTGAAAGAGGAATTGTTTGGTGTTCGCGGTAAGTAAGGTCTATTGATTTCAGGCAATGTTTCGTCTGTAGAATTGCCGCCAAGTTAGAAATATAAATTGATCATAAGAGCTGTAGGCATAGAGTTAATTAGACGCAAACATCATATCCTGTGTTAAGCTTGTAGCTAAATAATTATTGTAGTAAGAACATCACAGATCATAATATGCTGTTGTTGACCCTCTGGGTGTCAAATAAATTATTGAAGATCATATATCATGATTGAGTGATATCAGATTCAGCCGGTATAGTCTTTTCACTTTGCTAGCCTGGGAAATATAAGATCACCTCTTGTAATAAAAAATAATGGGGTTAGTCACCTGTTGCCTTAATGGGTGACTTGTATAAAGTCACTTGCAAGTTCACTTGTAACATCAAGGGCCTATCAAGCATACTCAGCTGTAAACAGGCATTATGGGTTATTGCCCAAAATATGACAGTCCTGTAGATGTTAAGTCAGAAGTGTCAGTGTTGTATGGTACTGTTACTGAGAGCGACTAACTTTTGCCTTTGAGCGACTGGAAAAACACACCTTTTTTAAAATAATTTTAAGTATTGGGCACCCAGGATTTCAGGGTTCGGTAGTTTTTCAGAGACTACAGCCTTGTTACTGATGAGACAGATAATGCACTGAAAAGGTTGATTACATGGCTAATAATATATATGCAAACATTTCACCATGCTCACTGGCTGTGAGCACATCAGTATATCCCAAACAGTGCAAAAAGTTGAAATTGATTAAATTGAAAAATATTTGTGTAAAATTTTGTATGAATGTTATTAACAAGTAATCAATTTTGCTTTAATTTCTTGTGCAATTTGGAATAAATAATCACTCATAAATTTTTTAAATACTTTAAACTGCTCTTGCCTCATGTAAATTTTTTGTAGGCTATGAAATATTTTTTTATGCTTATTTATTTCAACTCGCAGTTGAATTCATTTGATTTCCTATATAAGTTTCATCACATGCTAGAATTTCAGCTCAGGTAGGGGGCAGGGGCGGGGGAGGAGGGGGGGATATTTTATTTCAGATTCTACAACAGTTCTCTTGAACTGAACTTGGAGATTACATGCAGGAAGTTTCAGTCCCAAATGGACTTTCAGCCTGGGCTGAAATGGATGACACTCATCGCATAATATTGCACTGAATATACTATGACTGCTTTGCCAGAGTTTAAGCATACTGGCCAATAACATAGCAATAATCAACAGTCCTTGGTGTCTTCATTGATGTATTATTAAAACACCTGTGAAAGTTTGAGAGAATTAGTAAATTGAAAACACTGCATAAACATACCTACTGTACAACTTGTATTTGTACAGCAATTTTGGTCGTTAAAAGTTCTACTCCTATTTCAGAAATGAGAACTGCAATATGTAAGAAAGAAGTTATAGAATCTTTAAGTTGACAAAGAGATAGAAAACATAACAGTTGTTTATATCTAATACGTATATTGCTGTTACAACACAATGAAGTACACAATGCAGTTTCCATCAATAATTAAAATAATATTGGTGTTTTTATTTTATTTTTAGTGCGTAGCAAATCAACTGATGCAGTACTCAGCCATATGCAAGATTCACTTCGTGATCATTATCAAAATGTCATTGGTTGGATTCAGCCAATCACATGGAATGATTCATTTCAGATTCACATAGAACATATTTTTACAAATTTGGAAATTGTTTCACTGGTTTCCCAGGGTACAAGATGCATTCAGAAGCCACTGGATTCCTACCACGATATATTTTCCAGCCGTCCAGGATGTTCCAAGCCAAGAAGAATTCTTGTCGAGGGTGAGGCGGGTGTAGGAAAGAGCACATTTCTGTGTAAAATTGCTTACGACTGGTCAACCAGCAATAGCAAGTTGCTAAACTACACAATTGTGATTCTTCTTGAGCTGAAACAAATGAAGGGAGGTTTTAAGGATGCTATCTTGCAGCAGCTGTTTCCCACTGATTTTCCCATCCCACTGACACAACTTCTCAGTCACCTTGCAAGCCATCAGGAGAATGTGCTTTTCCTTCTTGATGGTTTTGATGAAGCAAACTCTTCTTGCCTGAAGCACCTCCAAGATATCCTGAGTGGAAGGATTTTTCGGAATTCATGCGTGGTTCTCACCTCACGGCCAGGTAAAACTGCGCACATACAAAGAATGATGGACACACGACTGGTAATTACAGGATTCACCACAGAAAACATCCGAAGTTTTGTGTTCAAGTACTTCCAAGACGATGCTGACACTGCTGAGGTCCTGTTGTCAGAAATGGAAACAAACCCTGTTATCGAGGATATTGCAAAGGTCCCCTTAACAGCCATGCTGATCTGTGCTTTGTGGGAGGATTCGCCAGATGCAACCTTTGAAGCCCTGTCCACACTAACAACTCTTTTCAGTGAACTAATTTTACTTATGGTGAAGCGCCACTTTGCCAAGAATTCTGAAGACGGTTGTTCTGCAGATGAGGAGTTTGCTAGCTTGGAAGATATCCCCAAGGATCTTTACAATGATCTGCTCATTCTTGGAGAGATTGCACTGAATGGCTTACTGAATGATAACCTCCTGTTTGATGTCCAAGCATTGGAAAAGAAGTTTTCCAGCAAAGTGCTTTTTGAGCTTGGATTGCTCTCTCAGGAGAAAAGCACTTCCAGGTTGAAGCCAGTGCGAAAGTGCTGTTTTATCCATAAGTCTTTTCAGGAGTATGCAGCAGCATTGTGGCTCAGTAATGAGATCAATTCTTCCATGAATGATCCGTCAAAATTGAAGGATGTCTCTGCACTAACCTTGAAGTGTGTCAAGAAAGCCTCTGATACTATGCTGCTCAATTTTGTGTCTGGGCTTGTTGGCGACAATTTTGAGTTTGTGTTTGTACCCTTGTTGGAAAGTCTCAAGGAAAGTGTCATTGCTTCAGACATCGGTGAAGCAAATGACTTCCTTGAAATGTTTGTTCTTGCTTTGTTTGAATCCCATCAGGGTCACCTTGCAGGTAAATTAGGGGCGACTCTTCTTGATGGAATCCTGAAGTTGTCTGGTCGAGACGTTAGTCCATATGGTGTCAGGGCCATGACGTACTTCATGCAAAACAATCCTGACCTCAAGTCGTTTGTTCTGGAACACAGTCAGTTGGAGAGGCAAACAGCAGCTTTTTTTGCAAACTCTCTTTCGCAAATGCCTTCCCTACGAGAACTTTGCCTATATCAGAACATTGTAGGTGATGGGGCTGTAGAAGCATTCAGCGGGAATTTGTCCAGCAGTCTTCCTTTGGAGAAGTTTGTGTTCAGTGGAAATGCCTCGAGGAGAGATATCGGCGATGACTTTGCATCAATTATGAAGTCCTGCCCAAATCTTCGCCATTTGGATTTGAGCTACAGCGGTCTTGGAGATGAAGATATGAAGGCTGTGATAGATGCTCTGAAATTTGTTCCTCACTTGAGATTATTGAATCTAAGTGGTTGCAAATTAGCCCAGAACAGCATGACATACTTGTCTGAGAAATTGTCCTGTGCACATGAGCTGGTCAGCTTGAGTCTCGAAAACAACAGTGACATTGGAGCTGAAGGTGTCAAAGCATTGGCCGAGGGGTTACACAAGGTTCCATGGCTGGAAAGTCTGTCACTCCGTGATGTAAATCGGAATACAGACAGCACCAGAGACACCTCTAAAGTCATTTACACCAGCCTCGGGCAAGCGTTTGCTCACTGTCCAAGACTAACAAGGTTAGATCTGTCTGCAAACCTGTTACATCAAGGGACATTCATTGCAGATTCCATCAAGAATGCCCCAAAGCTCACTTGTCTGGACTTATCTGGAAATGCCTTTCAAGATGATGGTGTAGAAAGTCTGGCGAAAGTTCTTCCTTCTTTGCAAATGCTCTCAGAGCTTTTCCTCGACAGAAATCACATCACATGCCATGGATTAGTATGTCTTTGCAAAAGTTTGAAACTCTCACCAAAGCTACGAAAACTGTCTCTAAAGTCAAATTTGATTTCTGATGTTGGAATTGAAGCTTTAGCAAGTGTTTTCCCCAGCCTTTGCCAGTTGTGTGACCTGTACCTTGGCTACAATAGCATCACAGAAGCAGGAGTAAATGCTCTTTGTCTCTCATTGGAGTCTCTTGGTAATCTTCAGTGCCTTGATCTTAAAGCCAACCTGATCAGTGAGGAAGGCATGGCTGCCTTAACCGAGCAGTTAGCGTCATTGCCTAAACTGAGGCAGTTATACCTTTGGAGTCCTGTGACAGAATCTCCTCAAGGACAAGCAGCAGAAACTGCCAAACCTGTGGAGTTTTTCAGCCCCACAAGAATTTATTCACCAGGTACTGGCAAATAATAGGTAGTCAGAGTGCTTATTCTTAATTTCTCTCATGATATCAAATTCTTGTCATGTTTGTTGACATTATCAGGAATCCATATTCGCAGTTGTCCGGTTGTCTATGATGACTGAAAATAAGAGGGACAACCAAAACAACAACTCTACCAGAAAAAAAAACAACATTTCTTAAAAAATTATTTTCTTACGAGGTCCCTGCATTCTGACCACTTGTCATCCATTTGGAACTTTTAGAAAACAGAGAAAGATTTGCAGTTTTCTTTTGTGATGAAATCATCATTTTGGTCTGCCATCTTGGATGATGTGATATTCTCCATGAATGAAATCATTGTGGGCTCGATTTTCATTTTGTCAACTGCTGATGCTCTGTATTGCATCTGAATCGGCGAAAATGGTGCGATAACATCAGCTGTTTTGATCAGGATATGGTGTTAAGTAATAATGTTAACACTTCGGTAAACAAGCCAAATACAGTACGAGCAGGAAGAGCAAAGGCATTCCTTCCAGTCTTCATAGCAGTTGAAGAGGCCCTGGTTTTCATTTTTACCTGAATTTTCTGTGTACGCTGACAGCCGCAACTATGTACATGATGTACTGCAGTGTGTGTACTAGGAGACTGGTCACGTGAAATTAACAAAAAAGAAAACTTTCCAGTTACATGCTGTTCTGTTGCAATTCTTCCCTATTGAGTGGGCAAGTAAAATTTTGCCAGGGCAAGAATGTCATCTGGCATACTTGTGCGGCTGACGACTTGGAGGAAAAAAAACAATATGGATCCCTGTGTTATAATGCTTGCACTACATGACTTTAGCTTCTTTATTTGTTACATAATAAGATACACCCATTTATGTAGGTTCTCATTGACTGAAAGCATTCTTAGTTTACATTAAGTTGATTACAGCATAAAAGGAACTTTGATAAAGTGTTTAAATTTTCCTCCTAATATTTGTGTGTTGTATTTATTTAATTTTCAGGCTACCGGTATACAGAATCACAAGCACATAGTCTTTCACGTGGTTTTGCTGAAGACAAACACCACAGCAAATGTTATGTCTCCCTGAAACAAGAAACCTTTAAGCTGCTTATGACAAGCGCTCATTCCCACACTTCACTGGAGGGGATTTAGTAAGTGCACTTCATTTTTAATCTCACTCTCCCACATTGACTATAGAGTTGCTTATTCACTCTGATACAAGAAGAGGGATTGTAAGTCTCAATCTGGGGACTATACATTCAAGTGATTCAGGAATGAAGTTATTAGTATTAATTACATAGATATAGAGGAAGGTAATGCACTGGAATATTTTGCTTCATTTTGAGAGTTTGATGTATTATTTTCCCAGGGACTCTCACATTTGTCCTGAGAATCTTGTTTTATATAGGAGTCTGAGTATCATGTTTTCCCTGGATGTACAAATAGCCATGTTCAAGGTCTCTGCACTGTAGCCCCCCATCTCCACTTCCCTCGGTCATGTGCACAATAGCCCTGATTTTAAAAATTCATTAAAAAAAATCATTAGTGTTGCTCTATATTATTACAAACATTAAATCTGGCCGAAACGTGTTAGTTTAGGGAATTATGTCCTAGGCCACCTCCTATGACTTTAAGTCAAGTCCTGTTGATTTGGTTAAGAAATATTCTCTCATAGTTTTCCCTTTCTATGAGTCTCCTCTCAAGTGAAAGATTTAATGGCAGTGGTGGATCCAGACCTAGATTTGCCACTGAAGGAATGAAATCAAATCAATTCAGGTGCTCTGAATGCCAATTTATTGTGCAGTTGGAATGATTGTGTAGGTGCCCAATTTCAGCACTCCTGTTGCAACTTATACGTTATTTGGAGAGCTGTCAATGGGCACTTCTGCTAATCTAAATCAGTTATGTGTTTTTATAGATATGTTTTTTCTTGCTGTTTCCTTTATATTAGTAAAATAGAATTGAATTTGAGTGTTCAAAAAGGCTCACATAGACTTAGTAATGTTAAATTTGCTTTTTGATATGAGAAATATTAGCATTTATTTCACGTCACATTGTACAAGTTACAGAGTAATCATGGTTGCTCTAATTTATTTCAGGCTGCATGTACCTTTGATATCTTGAGTGCGGTATGGCCTCCTTATCCTGGGAGGGGGATTCCCTCATAGAAACCATTATACTGTTGAACAACTTACTCATCTGTGACATTTCTGGGCAAGATTCCCAGACAACTGTTACCATATTTTATGTACAGTGTAATAGAAAAAATTGAATTAAAAGAATTAGTCAATGACTAGCACGTAATAATTAATCGTTTTTTTTGGCTAAATCCCTTTGAAAGTACCAAAAAATATTGGTAATTTAATGGCAGTTGTTTTAGATTTAACAACCAAAGTGGTGCTAACCAACAATTTTTGCCCCCTTCAAGGTATGAGGGGCATCCCTCTTTTTATAGGGAGTCCCTCTGGGCTGGGCTCCTTGTGCCCCATTTACATGCTTGCTAGTTAACTCAGCACTTGTGTCTGTTTGTCATTCAGCCTCAGTCAAACAGCCATTCCCAAAGGAACTGATCCGCAAGATTACCCTCGCCTTCGTTTGATAGGACAGTACAAGAAGTAACAAGTGGGATGTCATTTGAAGTGATATGTTGTAACAAGTATGTGTCCTGCATGGTATCGCTATGAAATTATTGCAATTCACGTGAGCCTGCAAAGTTATTTGTCAGGCATCGTAGTTGTTGAGCAATCTGGCATTGTGTGCATCTGCATGTAGCCAGCTGATTTGACAGTTTTGGAACTTGTTTGATATAATTTAGATTGAATTGGATCTTTGAGTACTTACACAAAGAGATTTCCATAAAATGAAATTAAGATAATAATAATTAAGATATTCAGATAATTTAGGTTTAGTGACATACAACATGTGTTATTTCCTCTAATAACTGTCTTATTTTGACAGCAGCCCTAGAGCAATTAAGCTTTACTGTACTTCATACATACATACATGAATTGGTAACATGTTTTCAAGGAAAAGTGTTAAATAGACAGTGGGCACAGTGATCTGATATATTAATATATCTATGCATTACAATTCTTACATGGCACTAAGGCTTTGGGAACTAAACAAAAACTCACATTCTTGTCCATCGCAGGGTTACCACCCCCCAGCGTTAAAATTCGCTGGTACCCATTTATACACTGGGGTGGAGAGAGGCACTGTGAGAGTAAAGTTTCTTGCCCAAGAACACAGCACAATGTCCTTGGCCAGGGTTTGAACCCGGACTGCTCAATCTGGAGATGAGCGCACCAACCGTGAGGCCACTTTGTCTCAGTGCCATGTTAGAGTTTAATTATTTGTAAATATATGGAGAGTCATCTGTTCCAAAAATACAAATTGCTAGTCGTTAAACCTCAATCGTTAGTGGTAGCAACAAATCGTAAGTCGAAAATACTTCAGTTGTTGTTCTGCAATGGTTAATCGTTATGCAAAACACTGATCACTAGTGTTGTTGCAGAAAACACAGTTTGAAGACTCCAATTGATAGTGCCAATAAAACATCAATCTTTAGTGTTCTAAGGCCAATTATTGGTGCTAAACATCAATCATAGTTGTAAGCATCAATTGATAGCATTAAAAGTAACTCATTTGACTGTTATTATGCAGCATTATTATATGGCTGTGTCTCACAAGGACTGGGAACTACCGAATTCACGAATTTGATTGGCTGAAATCGATATTGACTGCGGTCTAGATTTTCCCATCTAGACCGAAATCTAGACCGGTTTCATTTTGCGTTTAAAAAGTAGCAAACTAAAAAACAAAAATGTTGACCGTTTTCTTTTATTTTCTCCTCAATCATTTATGGAAGTGCCAAAAAGCCTGATGACAAAAATTGTAGAGAGGACGAGCAAATTTCGGCAGGTTTAAGTTAAGCTCATCGCCGTTCGCAAGAAAAATGTCAGCTAGTACAAACCAGTTACATTAAGCGAATTAAAGTTTTCTTCTTTGCCATATAATAAACATCTTATTAACCGAGCTAGGTCGGTCTGTCTGTTAGAATCTTGACCTCGGTCGTGTGTACAGACCTCACTGCGTTCGGTCTGTACTCACGACCTCGGTCAAGACTCTCCCATACAGACCTCCTGCTCGGTTAATAAGAGCTAAATCATTACTGTTGACATCAAACAAATTAGTGCTAAACATCAATTTCTGGAGTTTAAAGAGTGCATATCTTGATTTTGGAAAATCCAGAAAGGAGGGGGGGCCATATGAAAAATCACACCTGTGGGATGGAATGGATATTTTCTGGAACTGCACATTACTTTCCTCCAATCAGAGGAATCCTTATATAGCCACATTTACTGAACAAGGTAGCAAACAAAATGATAAGTCTAGAACTCTCAGAAGAACTGCAATTCTTCCTGGAAGCATTAGATTCTATTTTGCAGCTATGTGCCGTAAAAAGAGAATTTAGGATGGTGGTTTTGTTTTGCATGTGGTGAACAGATCTGGATGTATGGTATGGTCTTGCCAGTTCATTGAAATTCATTTTTCAAACTCATTAATAATTCAGCAACTTAAAACAAAGAAAATCACAACCGTGAAGGAGGTTTGGATACCTGGTCGTAATTGGCATAGATTTTGACGATTTTTCTTCTCTGTTTACTCCTTAGTTTTTGTTTCGATTGACGAGATAGATCAAACACTCGAGACCGTGCTTCATCGGCTATCCAGACACCTCGAATTTCGTTAAAAATACTCCGCTGCGCGTCGTATTTTCAGCTCTCTTCTCGGTGTTTGGACATCCCGATGAAACACTCCCGGGGGTGGGGGGAGGTAATCCCTTATATGAGCTGTATAGGGTTCTGCGACCCCAAAGGGTATGTTTTTTCAGCCGTTTTGGTCATAAATAGGGTATCGATTTTAGCCTATTTTGGCCATTTTGGTCATAAGTAGGGTATGGTTTTTGCACTCTAGCCTTGATATGGGTATGTTTTTAAGAAGAAGCCACTTTTTCATCATAATCAAATTAACAAAAGCCCTTCACAAATTATGTTTACGGTAATTTACGGTGAATTAGGGAACTTATTATAACGCAGGTCTGAAACAGGGTTTTAATTTAATGGTTAGGTCATAAATAGGGTATTGAATATTTGGTCAGGTTATAAATAGGGTAGGGAATATTGCAGATTTTGGTCATAAATAGGGTAAGGGTTTTGAGAAGCGGACCACACACCCCCACCCAACTTTTCTGGGAATACCCCCCGGGGAAACACTGCCTCTCGTGTTTGATATATTACGTGAAAGGGCTTCTAAAGTTGGCCCAGGCAGACTCCAAGCTTCTAAGTGAAAGAGTTTATGTTTCAGTTGATGTAATAGAGAGCAGATTACGAGGAGAAATACCCAAGCCACTAGTCTATTGCCAGTGATTCTTTTGTCGTTTAAAATACACTGGAAATCAGTAATAGCCTTTTGAAAGCTGGTAGATTCACCACTAGTAATTGATATTTAGCGCTATCAATCGGAGTCTTTATACAACAGCGTTTTTCGGGGTGTTTGGTGCAGCAACACGATTATTGACCATTTCAGGACGGCAACTGAAGCTTGCGTGTATTTTGTTGCCGGAACTAACAATTGACAGAATTGAGGTTTAATTCTAACGATTTGTATTTTTGGTACATATGGCTCCCCATAGAAATTGGCCCACGAATTTGTGCCAAGTTAGTTAATGTATTCCAAAAAGGTGTGCAGAAAGTCCACCAGTGATTCATGTTGTAGACTTCAAGGCTTTCGATTTGAAATGTACACTAAAGTACACAAAATTGAATACACTGTAAATGTGAATTTATACTTGATTGACTTGTTGATTAATGAAACCATTGATTAACAACACACTAAATGATTGATTGGCTGTTTGAGCCAATCATTTAACAACGAGAGCTGTCAATTAGCAAATTATTCGTTGCCTTTGATATTGCATGGAAAATACGTAATAAGTATTACCGAGACCACCTGTTGGATCAGGATTTAGCTCTTAGATTTATGCCAAATTTTTAAATTTTACGAAAGACGAATTTTTTTGTTGGTGGCATTGACAAAGAAAATATTGAATTATTGGAGAATATTTTTAAGATATACCGCCAATTTCTCACAACAAGCTTTACAAGCAATGTTTTCCAATTAGTAAAGAGCATATCATTGAGGTATTTCGCTTAAGGAATTAAGGATTTATAGCTTAATTAATATGCTTTTGTAGATTCCACAGTGAACGCTTCCACAACGCGTTTAGGGTATTTTTCAATTGAGTGTCGTAAGACCAAAACTTAAGTAAACACTTTGGGCAATTACAATTTACGTAGACCATCCAGTGAACCAATCAAATTTCGAAGCAAATTATGCGTGTTTCCGACGCAAAGCGCGGGAAAACGTGTGCGAGCGAGTCACGATTGGTTTGGGTTTTAGTTCTGATTGGATGGCAAATTGACGCGCGTTTTTTTTAAGGCAATCGCTTAGCGTGGTATTGCAAAACTAAAGCAAATATGTAGTTACTGTTGACGCTCAAGTGAAAATCTGTAGAGTTTACATGTAAGTAGTTAACACAGATACACTCGTGCTTTTAGAATCGAAGAAGATAAGAGTGTTAGTGAGATACATGCATATTTTTCAATTTAATTTATTATAGTAAAGACTACTCCTGTATGTTGCTTTTATTTCATTTGGTACACAGTGAATTAATTTGTTTGTTGAATTTCCTGTCTCATGTTTGTATTTAAGACAAAGAGATGCCAGCGAAAGAAATTGTTAGAGCTCAGTGAAAGCATTCCAATTTACTGTGTCGTTCCAAAATTTTCTAGGCGTGAAGCTAGGATGTACATTGTTGTTTCGTGTGTTGTATCGTATATCTTTACTAGTCTTGACGTAATTTGGTGTGTCAACTGAAAAAATTCCGAATACAAAAGACTAGTAAAATTGTACTGGGATACTCATACAGAAATATTTAGATCTTACTGTACATTTTAGGGATCTCACTGGACATTTTAGGGTGTACAATTGCAGTTATTTTTGCGAGATTAAACAGTATTTTGACGAGCCCGTTGGGCGAGTCAATAGAAATGACGCGCAAAAGTGGACAATGGGCAACGAAACCGCACGCTATAGTGTTAGATACGAGATTTTTTTGACCAACATAGTTCTTTCCAGAACTGTATTCTGCGTTGGGCGCACTCAGAAGAAATAAATGGAATACAAAAAACCTGTTTAACTGATCCTTTTAGTGTCGTGATTCGTACTCTTCGATATCACCTAAAGGCATGGCTCCTTCTCCTTCGTACGTCTCGTATTTCTCTCTGTCCAGTCATCGCATGCGCGCATGCGCGCGAATGCAACTGCAGAGGAAAAGAGATGGTGGTGAGATCGGACTGAACCCGAAGTTTTTGTGATCAAGTTGCGAAGCAAGTAGCGCACGAACAGGTACCCTACAGCTTATGGCGTATGCAAAGCAAACATTTGATGGGTGAAGAGAGACCTATACCACACCAGGGTGCCTGTTAAACTCAGCCCCGGGGGTATACTCCCTTATATTGGCTATATGTATGTGTGGCCCCAAAGGGTATGGTTTTTCAGCCGTTTTGGTCATAAATAGGGTATGGTTTTAGCATTAGTCTTGAATTGGATATGTTTTTTTACAAGAAGCTACTTTTTCATCATTATCAATAAGACCGTCGACAAAAGTCCTTCATAACTTAAGTTTAGGGCAACTGTACCAGCCGCAACGGTCATAAATAGGGTGTCGAATTTTTTTGCTAGGTCATAAATAGGGTAGCAAAAATCGCAGATTTTGGTCATAAATAGACCCTTTTCATAAATGGCTGCCAATTATAAATTCTTTTGTAAGTATTAAAATTAGCCTAACTAACCTCGTTCTTGAGTTGATAATTCCAAAGAATTTTTACTCCCAAACGAGTTTAGTGAGGCTAATTTAAGTACATACAAAAGAGTTTTAAATTGGCAGCCATTTATGAAAAGGGTCTATAAGGTAAAGGTTTTGGGAAATGGACCGCACAACCCCACCCAACTTTTCTGAAAGAACCCCAACGGCAACCAACCTAACATTCCCAAGCGTAGAGGTTTTTCGGGAGCCATGGGCATGATACGGAGTCGAGTGTTTTATATTTTGNCCCCCCCCCGCCGGAACTCAGCTCGTTCGTCCATCCTAA